ATGTCAGAATTTCTGGGTGTTTTGTTATGAACCTCAAATGTGAATCCTAAGTTAAATCAATTTATTGCCACATTTTGGCTTAAAAACATGACTGATATATTTCATCAAGATCCTAGTCTTTACTCTTTTTCTTTTTTAATGTAAAGTTCTTTTTTTTAATTTAAAATAATGTCACATGATACCCAAAATCTCATTAAATTCTGATTAATTCAAGTTAATTCTTTAATATTGGCAAACAAAAAGTTAATTGTTTGACGGTAACGATGGTTGGTAACTTTCAGAAATAGCTTGTTATTAGAACAAATACCTATTTATTTTAAACACATTTTTGTATTGATACCAACTTAAACTCATATCATTGCTGGTAAACTTAAACTTGTATCATTGTTTTTAAATGAAAGGTAATTTCTTATTCTCTTCAAAACACGATATATATAGAAAATCTTCTAAACATTCAGTTTGGCCTAAAACATTGGACATTATATAGTTTTTATAATTGTTTTTTATATATATATTTTTAATTCATTCATTTTTTTAAAAAACATATGAATTAGATTTTCAATTATCATTACTTAAACATTCACATAAGATATTTAATGAGATGAAATTTTGTAAGTGATTAAGGTTTCGTTTGATTTTTTCATAGACCGTTAAATTATTATCAATACCTTACTTTTGAAACATTTTACAACACTTTTTTTCTTTTTTCTTTTCTATTTTTTTTTTCTTTTGATTCAAATCGAAAGACCTTGGCTTAATTATAAAGTCACATTATAAATGGAACCTTCGTCTCTGCATAAAAAATATGAAAATATTTCCTTTTTTTTGTCTATTTAATATATATATATATATATATATCTAGGGGGGATAGAGAGAATTATAAATGACTTAACATCCAATCTTGCTTTTAAAGCATTGAGTGTATCAATCGGTCTAAGGCACTGTGAAAATACCTGGTCATCATCAACCATCATCATATCGTGTAAGGTGGTGGATGACAAGAAAAAGTCATGTTTTAATCTTGTTTTGATGTAATCTTTTTAAGATTTTGAATTCACTTTTCATTCAAAAAAATTTAAAAATAAGGGTCAATAACAGCTAGGTCTCAAAAATTGAATAAATGACTCTAAATAAATTAATTGTGAGTATCAATTTAAATAATTACAAACAAAAATCTTATTATAATATAAGAGTTATATTTAATACTTAAATCCTTATCTATAATTGAAATTCCTATATTTATAATTATCTGGATTATTTTTTAACTTATTTTTTAAAAAAATTTGTTAAAAACTTAACAATCATTAATTCAATATTTTGAGACCTACTTTCTCCGTCTCCATATATAAGAAGTTTTTTAAAATTTTTTTATCTCCAAATATAAAAGGTTGATAGCATATGTTTTAATGAATGGACTATTATACCTTTATTAAATTAAAAAGAAAAGATAAGTACTTAATATTAATTTATCTTGAAAAAAGAGATTTATTTTTTATTTACAATAATTAGGGATAAAATTAAAATATTTTTATACTTTTAATCAGATAATCAATTTTCATTAATTTATGTGATTCAGTTAAAAAATGTTATATATAAGGATGGAGGAGGTAATTGTCAATTACCCTGAAAATAAAGTTAAAAATGCTTCATGGAGTATATATTTGCTTTAATGGTATAGTTAGTAATTAATTTATGATACCTTACCTTACATTATACTCTCTCTGTTTTTATTTATAAGAGAAAAAAATTATGTCACATAGTTTAAAAAAATTAGTTAATCATATTAATTATGTTTGAAAATAAAAAATTGAACCAAAATACCTTTCATTAATTATGTTAATCAAGTCTTTATTAATTATTTTTTATGACTGTAAATGATAAAATTATGAGGGTGATTTAAAATTTTTTATAATAAATGCTTATTAAAAATTATGATTTTACTTATATAAAAAATAAATTAAAAGTGATAATGTTTTTTTATAAACAAAAGCTGAGGGAGTACCTTGTATTACAATCACACACATATGAAAGCTCAAATCTCCCTCCCTCCCTATATAATTATACTATATATGATATAACTCTTGAATAGTCCCAAAAGCGGGAATTTCTCGAGCACTGATAAAGTATACTCTTTTTGATTTTATTTATAGGGCAGAAAAATTTTTTTTTATCCTATTTATAAATTATATTATTAAAGTTTCATTATAAATTTTTTTTTAATCTTCATTAAATGTTAGAGAGAGAAAATATATTATTAAAATGTGTGTATTTAATAAGGACAAAATTAAGAACTTATTAAATTTTAAAATAGAGTTAATAAATTTTAAAATTTTTGTTTAATATCTATGAAACATGTTAAAAGTGATTTATAAATAAAATGAGAAGAGTAATAAATATTTTTCTCTGGCTCGATTCATTAGCGCCCAGAAACTGGCGGTTTCAACAATCAATCAAAGGAAGCTCAATTCCCAGTCCTTTTATTTCATTGAAACTTTAAAATGAAAATGGAAACCTTTCGAATTCCGAGTACCTTCATCATTAGATAGTACTCATTAAGTGGAAGCCCGATCAACGTAAAGTTCCCAATACGCTTACTCCTGGGAATCGATGAGCGTAAGATTACATTACACTAAATACTAATTAATAGAGATTGACAAATGGATCCCTGTGCCCTCCTTTAGGATGCATAACATACCTTATAAATATGATAAAGAAATCATTCTTTTTACCTTATAATTAGAACTGGAACGGTATAGGAAATGTTAGTGTATTTGACTACATTCTCAGGTACTAATTACAAGGTAAAATTAACTAATTTCACAGTTCTTAAGAAATATTAGAGTTATTAATATCCCTAAACTTATAATAAAATATGTCTACTATCTAAGAATTAAAAGTTTACCAACAACTTGACTCAATTAAGGAGCGGCAAATTGTGAAAAAATATTAACAACTATATTTTTGTCCTGTAATTAGTACCAAAAAGTAGGATTTTAAAACTTCACCTATAGGTAGGAATGGCAGGACGTGTGTATATAACTTTACCTATAGGAATGGTCGGAGTATAAACTAATCCTCATTTTTTTCTTTTTCATTGCTGGTTGTAGTTGGCCTTTCTCGGCCTGTCTATATTTGAGAGAATTATATATTGTCAACTCCCTTACAATGATTTCAAATATCTTAAAATCTCATTAAATATATAAATTATTGTCAAGTCCCAAACCTCTTAATTGTTAATAAGTTTACGGACTTATTAATATTTTGAACAGTTGGTAGTAATAAAAAAGTCATCAAATAGTGTCTGTTGAAGCACATGAATAACAGGATGGAAGTGATAAAAATGACAAGGACTGACAGAATATTTTAATCAAATAAAGTTCATTATTAGAAAAACTGAGTAATTATATTGATGAAGGAAACATTCGCAAAGCCGAGTATTAAACTTAAAATTATAATTTTTAAAAAATAAATTATAAATATAAAATGCATTGATAAATAAAAAACCTTAAGATTTAAAAAGACAGAATTAAATAATAAAATTGAAAATATTCAATTATAAAAAGCTAAAATAAATTCGTAAGTCTTGATAGTACTCATCTCCCAATATTATATTTTTTTTTCCGAATGAACCCAATATTAAATTTTTATTGCAATTCTTCGTAGGAGCACTTTACGTTCCGGGCATTTATCTCCACCCACCTATTTATCTATCCATCTATCTCTGTCTCTGACTTTACTCGCAGCCCTTTCCATGTGCTTTGCAATGAGCTATTTGAGTTTGAACCCCAAACATAGCTTTGGCCATATCTCCGTCAAGCTCTCCGTCAACTTCGGCGGAACAAACAGTGACAGCAACCCCAGACGGCATCCACCGCTACCTCCACGGATTATGATGGCAGCAAGTGCAGACACAGGAGGCGACAACAACGTGCGTTTTGGCTCTACCGCTCTTCTACCCATTTTTTCCCGTCATGATATTAATGGGACAATGGACTTCTTACCTTCCAAGTTAGGTTTAGACCACCCCAAGTAAACCAAACAGGGCCATGTATAATCAATTAGCATGTGGAGGTGCAGAAAAAATTAAGAGAAAATTACACATAAATCTTGTGGAGTAGATTTATTTATAAATAATTTTCATGAAATTCAGAAATTACAATGAAACCTCTTGGAACTTAAGTATAATTTAAAATTAAAATAAAAAGATAATAATGCTCCTATTAAACATATATACATTACATCAATCAAATAATTTATAACTACTTCATTAATAATTTACAACTATAATTTCAACTTTTTATAACTGTAATTTCATATATTTAATAATTAAATTAATTACTTTAAATATGAAATATGTGAAGTTACAATTGTAAAAAGTTAAAATTATAATTACAAATTACTGATGAAATAGTTGTAAATATTTTAAAAAAATGTTAAACTTTGTTAGTAACATATGATTGTTTAACTATTGGATTTGTAAAATTATAGTTATATTAAATGGGAGAGACTTCATTATATTTATAAATCTTATTCTACTTGTGAGGTTTCTCAACATAAGACTTATAATGCCATCTCATTTGAGAGCTAACGTTTCTAGCAATATTCTACAGCATTCTTATGCTAGTTAATAGGCTAGTTTTTTTTTTTTTCCTTTCCAGATGAACTCTCATTTTAGACTTATGCTCATAATAACAGTGTGTATGAGTTGTGAATATGAAATTCATTCCTTCCAAGAAAAAAATGAACACGGATTCATACAATCTTATTATTTGTGCGCAGAATGAAAACTTACAGATTGGACTCAATTACGTTGACACTCATAATATAAGAGAAAGTTATCTGAATCTGATCTCTCCAATCACATGACGGTGCAACTACTATTGTCAATAGGGTATTCACAAACAACGTAGGGGGGGCAAGGGGGACAAGGAGGCCTATAATAACAGCAAGGCAATTCCTGAGGCTTCTTCTCTTCCTTCTCTTCTTCTTCTCTTCTTTTTTTCTTCTTTCTTCTCTTTCACTTCTTCTACACTTACAATGGTGGCATGGCCGAACTTCTTCCTCAAATCCTTAGCCAAACACACCGAATCCACATCTTCTCCGACCACCACCACTCGATCCCTATCTGCTCCTTCTAGCGCCACCGAATTCACCCGACCTGCATGCATAATGTTCACAAATGATTCTAAACAATAAGTCTGTCCAGCTGAATATACATACCAGATATACAAGTACAATGTTTACGAAAACTCAAGAAAGAACTAGATTTTTTGTGCCATGTCTTGCATGAATTATTATATACCAATTGATAATCCTAGATCGAACTGAAAAGAATTTACTTCATCCATGCAAGAATCACCTGTAGCCTTTGACGCGATTTTCAGGGCCTTGCTTCTGCAACTCTCACAGCTCAGGGGCACCTGTATAACTATCTTCCGCTGCAATGTATTAAAACTCAAAGTTCAGTTATTTATGCACCTCTCGTTTGACGAATACAAAACTATAAACAAACATACACAAAATTATCATTGGTCTCACCTTCATGCTTGATAAAGCGTTGATGCTGCTTGGCACAAGCAAAACTTATAATCAAGCCCGTCTTGGTTGGGCTTTGTGCTTGACTATAAAGTGTTCGATGGGTTTCACACACACACACACACACACACACACATTTATACGTGCGCCGTGCGCGGTTGGAATATAAATTTGTCATTTACACACATATTTATACGTGCGCCGTGCGCGGTTGGAATATAAATTTGTCATTTAATTGGTCCACAGTTGGTAAATTAATGTGGACGTGCCAGCGCGCCAGACACGGAAGCCATGTATTTATTATAAGACTCATTGAATCAAGCTACTTGCTCTGTTTTTTAAAAAAAAAAATCAAGCTAAACTTGCTAGTGTATATATATTTATCAACGTCAACCACGATAAAAACTTCCATGTATTTATACATTAATAATTAATAATAACCAGTTCCCAGGAATTAAAAGGAGTTTAAAAATGAGTTAATCCATTTATCTACGACTTAATTAGAGTTAATTTTGTCATAATATATGTTTCAATATATATATATTTATATATAATGTGTCGGTTGACAAACTATCCTTTTAAGTTTTGTCAACTTCTTTAGGGGAGAGTCAACGAATTACTCTTCCTAAACAATATTAATTAGATTTAGATCCGTCTTGCAATTTCAAGTACAAACACTTAAAGTCAGTAACTTGAGGCTAGATCATATAGTAAGGATGAGGTGTGGTATGGATAGAAAGAAAACAAAATTAGCCTTTCAATTATAATTTTTCAAAGTAACTAAAGTTATAAAATTAAAAGAAAAATTAAAATTTGAATATTTTAAATAAAATATTATTTTTTATGAATATTTTACACTAAATATTAAAAATCTAAATTCTTACTTCTTAATTTTTTGACAATACATTTTACCTATTCAGTTATATTAATTTGTTATAATATAAAGCAGACTTGCTAATATCCTAACACAACTTGTCTTGTGAATTTATTAATGGAACTTGTTATCAATATCTTTTACATATTTAATATCGTTAGTTTGTTAAAACATGAAATGTATTTGTTAAAATCCTAACATAACTTGCTAAAAAAGGGAAGGGCATTTTAGTCATTTCCTATTAAAATATATTTTCAATGAATTTCTTCGTTTAAAATTAAATCCTTACATAACTCCATTATTGAAATTCTCTGTTTTATTTACTTTTCGTGTACCAGGACGAGCGAGAAATATTTCATGAAAAAACTAAACCCATACGCTTCAGTTTGTAATAGACGCACACATATATCATAATTGATTTATTTGAAAAATTAAATTTTGCACTCTAGTGGTGAGAAAGATCCCCTCAAGGTCTGGTCAAATTTGTGGTGCGTTATTGTATATATACAGTTCACTAGTCTACTAGCTAGCCATAAGACATATGTAACAAGTTCGTAGAATTAATATAATATATATTGGAAAATCAGCATTCACAAACGGTGTGATTTGTTTTATATTTTATATTTCAAATTAAATATTACTAATATTAATATTAAGATTAATATAATTTGGTCAAAAGGGAAAGGCCCATAATTTAATGGCATGTGGGTACTTAATGCCAGCCCCAAGCTCCATATTGCTCACCTAGTAATTTCTAGGCTTCATCATAGCATGGAAAAAATGCCAAAATGATTAAAATATATTCCTTCCCATCGTATTACAAGCTAGTCAGGTCTAATTAATCACCTTACTATAATTATATAAAAGTGGATAATTTATTAATTGAAAAAATAATAATAATTTTTTTTGAATTATATAAATGACATTTTGGTCCCTCAAAATGCTATCATTCACCTGAAATTCTTAGGAATTTTTATGTCATTAAAGAATTAATTTAAATGACCAAATTTCTCTTAATTCAAATATCAATTGCTATTTTCAATTTTTGTTCTAAGATCCACTATTTTTTTTATTAAAATCACAAGAATTCAATAGCAATTCACAAGTTTGCACTTGAAATTTTGATATTCTTAATTGTTAAATATCAATTACCATTCACAAGTTTTGTTTCAAAATTCATGACTTTTCTTTTTAAAACTGTAAGAATTCAACAGCAATTCATAAATTTAAATTAAGAACAATTTGATCATTTATATTAATTTTTTAATGACAAAAAAGTTTCTAAGAACTTCACGGGAATTATGATATTTTGAGATACTAAAATGTCATTTATATAATTTAAAGAGATTTTATTATTATTTTTTCTTATTAATTTTATCCTGAAAATAAATTTTTTATTTCACCCATATTCAAATGAAAAAAATTTAAATTTGCTTAACATTTTCTAATTAATGACTTTAAAAAAGTGTAATATTAAAAAAATACTTAATTATAATAAATGTCATCTAACTCTTCTAAAAAAGAGAAATTCTTAGATAAACTCGGTGCATCACGTCACTTATAGGCAGGTGGTGAGAGGGCTTATGAAGAATAGCAAAGAAATGGTGAGTGAAGGCAGAGAACTTCATGTGACATACCAAACTTCATATCCATTCTGTGTGAGGAAAATAGAGGAGATAGCCGCGGAAGTTGGATTGTGTTTGGTTAAGGAAGTGCCATCCTATGAATGGGATTATCAAGGTTACTCTAAATAAGAAAGCCTCTGGAACTAACTGCGATGGTACCTTCCTGCTTCCTCTAGGTTATTAATTAATTATAAACACAGGATTTTACGCTTGAAATTTGAAATTTACAAAAAAGCTAATTAACAACTTAATGTTTTCTTTTTGTTGTTACAGGAGAAGATTGAGAATTGTCTGCAGATCCAGGATCTTCTAGTCTTGGCATAAATGTCTGCTTTGCATAAGTAGATGGCCAACCCTTATGAAGATTTAAGTAATTATTTACTCATAGGGCTTTGTTGAATGAATGTTCTCGCTTGTTAACTAGTTGTAATTATAATAGCTAATAAATAATAATGAATGTATTTTCTAGTTTACGTTGTTGGCCTCAATAGTAGTTCTTCCATTGATATCTTAATGCAACCAATCATCTTGATATCAGAATTTTTAATAAGCCACCGATGAGACTTTGCGTATTTTGTTTTTAATCGTATGACTTTTACAGTGGCCTTATTTATTCCCAAAAATAAAAAAAAAGGCAAGCAAGAGTTTAAAGGGGCACCTTAATTGATCAAAATTTAGGGTAATTAAATAATTGAGTAGTTATTCTTTCATATAATTAATTATTTCAAAATTTTATTTTTTTCACCCGTGTTAGTTTTTTTAAATATGTCAATTTAAATTTTATACTTATCATATTAAATGGAAAAAAAATCGTTATATAAAAAAAAAGACAAACAAAAAAAGCAAAACCATGTAGTCGATCGTACATGTAAAAAAATAAATAAATAAATAAAGCATAGGAAGAAATTCATGGTTTTGGTTTTGGTTGCCTATGAATTACTCCTAACTTCCCAAATTATAAAGTATTTTTAGATAAAATTTTATATATTAATAAAATTTATTAAATATATTTTATAATATTATTTTTTAAAAAATAAAAATATAAAATTTTAAAAATACTATTGATTTAATACTCTTTTTATAAAATAATATTAAAGAAAAAAGTATATGAGAATGATAATATTAAAAATATGTTATTAATAAAAATTTATTTTTATTAAAAAAAATTATATTTTAAAATGCTAAATCTTTTTTTTTAAATGTCTTCTAATTTAAAATGAAAGGATTATCTCCTGCTTTTTTTATTAGTTGGCAACTTTGACATTGCCTTAGCACGTGCTTACTTCTTTTCATCCGTAAAGCATATATGATTATTTATATCTTAAAATGGAATAAATTTTATTTTACCCTTATTTCAATGAATTTTTTTAATTATATTATTTTTTTTATAGTTAATGAATTTAAATAGCAGAAATTTTGAGTTGGAAAAAAATGTAATTAATGCTTGTCATTAAGCGTCTTATATTAAAAACTAAAAAAAAAAAATTTATGGTACCTTACCTTATCATATAGTACCTTATATTACACACATATGAAAGCTCAAATTGAATTCATTAACGAAATGGGTGGGTTGCTAAATCTCCTGATCAAGTTGAAATGAGCCGTAATAAATATTTTCCTCAGCCTGGATTCATTGGCGCCCACTGGCGGTTTCAACAATCAATCAAATGGAGCTCAATTCCCAGTCCTTTTATTTCGTTGAAACTTTAAAACGAATATAAATACCTTTCGAATTCCGAGTACTTTCATCATTAGATAGTACTCATCATGTGGAAGCTCGATCGACGTAAAGTTCCCAATTTGCATACTCCTGGGAATTGATGAGCGTAAGATTACCTTACACTAGATTCTAATCAAAATAGAGATTGACAAATGGATCCCTGTTCCCTCCTTTAGGATAAGTACACTGCCTCGGCCTCACTTTCGAACGACATATTGACGGGATTGAGTGTGAAGAAATGGAAGAGAAAACGAAAAGCACTACAGTAGCAAACACAAGTTACTGCTGGTGGGAGAGGGAGATTTCTTCTTCTCACTGTGCTTGGCTAAGGCTTTTGGCTCTGCATCCAAGATGGTTGCCACATCTCCTGAGTCCAGAGGTATATTGTTATTAACTTGATGCTGATGGGATCGAAGACAAGAAATCATTTTTGAGATGATGGGTCTTGACCACTGATCAATCAGTCTATTGAAAACGATGATAATTAATATTGATTTCAGGTTCGTTGAGTCTTAGATACTCAACAAGAGCATTGGTTAACCCGGAAGAGCACCAAGATCTTGGTTACACCCTGGTGCATGGAGCGGACGCTTTCATCATGAGCCGACATCCTCTTCTCCCGGAAATGCGTTTCGATCCAGTTGTCTTCAATTTCCCACAGGCTCTCTCTCTCTCTCCCATCAGACACGCCTCTCAAGCAAATCAAGTATATATGTTCAATCCTAATCCCTTGGTTTCATTTAAAACTTGGTTTGTGTTGATATACATATATATATATATATATATATTTTAGGAGGAAAGAGATGCTGGTAATGGGGTTTATGAGGTTTCAAAATCTAGTTATGAGGAACATGAGCTGGTAATGGGGTTTCAGGATTGCA